CTATCCCAAAAAAGACTGACTAATCCAATATTGACCAGGGATCACACATGGTCAGTATGATTCTGTTATTCACTGAATACCCTAGAACTCTATTAATATATCATCCATAGCCAACATGAATGGAGGCTCTTGTCCTTCCCTTCATTAATCATTCTGCTCAGCTCCTGGCTAATTCTCACAGGAATCTTTAGCCCATTTTACACTGACGGCAATAAAACTTGCACAATTGTTATCAACGCCATTGTTAAAAACGACTTCATTCTCCTTCTTCATAAAAGGAAGCAAGCGAACAAAAAGTGACTGTAATGTAGGCCTGAACATTTAATTGTATTTCAGTTCCACAGACATAAGAAATATCGATAAGGAATACACACAATTGTAACCTTCCAGGGTCTCAACAGTCTCAATACAATATCTGGAAAAATATACATCCACACAATGTGAAATTTAAAATGATAATATTTTTCAGTACCCAGGCATAGCAACTTCTATGAAATTAAAGAAAAGCGACACCATTGACAAATCTGCAATGATTAACCAGATGTTCCAGTGACAGTGAAAAATACAGCACTACAGTAAAATTGAATTTTCTTAACAAAACCCGATAACACCTTTTTTAAAGCCATTTTATAATAAAGGAGGATATTGCACAGATTTTATTTCTGATAGTCATGAAATCTATTTAATGCTGGTCAACAGAAGAGATTTGTATCTCAATCTCACATATGAAGGCACTGATGTTTGCAAGTTATTTCAGAAGGGATACTCTCTGAATACAGGCATGAGGCAGGATTCTGAACTCTACTGAGATGAAAATGGACCTGAGTTTTATAGTGTATTGTCCCTAAAGCATTGTGACAGTGCAATGTGACTATGGCAGAAGAAAATGTGGCATTAGAATGTATTGCTGGGATGATCTAATATAAACAAAGAGTACTCCAGCACTGAGGGTAGCCGAAGGTAATGTTTTTGCCACTGTATTTTACCTATTTATCTGGTTATCATATAATTCAAAACCTAATGGTTGGATTTTCACAAAAAGTGGTAAACAGATTTGACTTGCCCCATGGAAGAATTGATCAGTTTTTGGTGAAGGTGTGAATCTGGATCCTTGAAATTTCTAAAAGATCTTTTAACTCTGGGAGAACTATCAAATTGATTTTTTGTTCAAATAAACACTGAAAATGCTGGAGAAACTCAGCAGGTTTGTCAGCATCGATGAAGAAAATAACAGTTACTATTTTGAGTCAGGTATGTCCCTTCTGGACTTGAAACGTTGACTCCGTTTCTCTCTCCACAGATCCTCCTGAGTTTCTCAAGCTTTCTCTGTGTTTGTTCAGATTTCCAGCATCCGCAGCATTTTGCTTTAAAGTTGGCTATTTTTGGGATCTTGTGAGTTGTCTTGGCTGCTGTGATAGGATTTGTCACAGTTGTTAAAATGTGATCAGAGTTTTCAGAGCAAGTTGTTTGATATGTATTGTGCAGAAATTTCCTTAGTCAGATGCAAGTTCTTAATAAAAAATGTCTATTTTTCAGCTTTGTTGTTTCAGAATATCAACAAGACAGGGGATGGCATCCAGGATGTGTCGAAGAGTTGCGTCATTTTTATAACATTATGTTAACAGCACGATGTAGGTACAGACTCCACTGAGTACCATCTTCACTTGTAAAGTGTTGTGTCCACTTTTGGTTCCCTCAAATCATGGATGAATTGAGGCCTTTGGAAAAATTGTAGAAGATTGGTTCCTGGATAAAACATCCCTAGTTATCATGACAGGCTAAGATAGCTGGAACTTTTTACGTCTACAAGTGTTTAGACCAAGACAAGAAGGCATTTAGATTAAAAACAGATTTAGACTGTGTGCACACAATAAGCTGTGTAAATAAAGTAGATCTGGGAAAACCAGGAACATAAATGTGACTTAATTAAGCAAAGAACTAACGTAGATGTCAGGAGATCTTTCCTTTCACAACCTTCAGGAACAAATTGCTGGTTCAGGCAGGTGAACTTTTTGCAAATATTTGTAAGGGAACTAAACAAGCTCTTGGCTGATAATGATCTCAATGTGCCTCAGACATTGGGTGATGTGCTCTCCTAGGACTCATTCAAGAATTGGGAAAGAACTTCTCATAATTCTTTATTTCTCCTAAATATGTGGAGAGAATCTTTTTTTTATCTCACTCTTTTTGTCTCACCCAAGAGATAACTCCTGCTGCTCATCTTTACTTCTATGTCTCATCCTTACTTCTTGTCTCATTTCATGTTCCAATATCACCTCAATCATATTTCTCACTCCACACTGACGCTGTTGTTTCTAATTCCTGTCCACTGTACATGACTTAAATTCTTTGCACCCCCAAATATCGCATCCCTATTTCATGTTTGTTCTATAAATCTCTTATAAAGATAACTGCTTACAAACAGTTCCCTTACACCTCATCACTTCAGGTGACCTCCCACCCACAGCCTCTAACCTCATTGTTCCCCAACCTGACACCGCCCGTTTCTATCTCCTTCCCAAAATCCACAAACCTGACTGCCCTGGTCGACCCATTGTCTCCGCCTGCTCCTGCCCCACCGAACTCAACTCCACTTATCTCGACTCTATTTTCTCCCCCTTGGTCCAGGAACTACCCACCTACGTCCGTGACACCACCCACACCCTCCACCTCCTCCAAAATTTCCAATTCCCTGGTCCCCAACACCTCATCTTTACCATGGACGTCCAGTCCCTATACACTTGCATTCCCCATGCAGGTGGCCTAAAGGCTCTCTGCTTCTTCCTGTCCCACAGGCCCGACCTGTCCCCCTCCACTGACACCCTCATCTGTTTAGCTGAACTCGTCCTCACCCTTAACAACTTCTCCTTCAATTCCTCCCACTTCCTACAGACAAAGGGGGTGGCCAAGGGTACCCGCATGGGCCCAAGCTATGCCTGCCTCTTTGTAGGATAAGTGGAACAATCCCTCTTCCATAGCTACACTGGCCCTATCCCCCACCTCTTCCTCTGTTACATCAATGACTGTATTGGCGCCGCCTCGTGCTCCCACGAGGAGCTCAAACAGTTCATCCACTTCACTAACACCTTCCACCCCAACCTTAAGTTCACCTGCACCATCTCTGATACCTCTCTCTCCTTCCTGGACCTCTCTGTCTCCATGTCTAGCATCCATCTGGAAACCGATATCCATTTCAAGCCTACCAACTCCCACAGCTACCTAGAATACACCTCCTCTACCCACCTTCCTGCAAAAATGCCATCCCCTATTCCCAATTCCTTCGCCTCCGCCGCATCTGCTCCTGAGATGAGACATTCCACTCCCAGACATCCCAGATATCCTCGTTTTTCAAGGACCGCAACTTCCCCTCCACAGTGGTCGAAAATGCCCTCGACCATGTCTCTCGCATTTCCCGCAACTCATCCCTCACACCCCCTACCTGCAACAACAACCAAAACAGAATCCCCCTCGTCCTCACGTACCACCCCACCAACCTCCGGATCCAACGCATCATCCTCCGACACTTCCGCCATCTGCAATCTGACCCCACTACCAAAGACATTTTTCCCTCCCCACCCTTATCTGCTTTCCGGAGGGACCACTCTCTCCGTGACTCCCTTGTCCACTCCACACTCCCCTCCAGCCCCACCACCCCCGGCACTTTGGGCTACACCTGCCCCTACACCTCTCCCCTCACCCCCATCCCAGGCCCTAAGGAGACCTTCCACATCAAACAGATGTTCACCTGCACATCTGCTAATGTGGTATACTGCATCCGCTGTTCCAGATGTGGCCTCCTCTACATCGGGGAAACCAAGGAGAGGCTTGAGGACCGCTTTGCGGAACACCTACGCTCGGTTCGCACTAAACAACTGCAACTCCCAGTCGCGAACCATTTCAACTCACCCTCCCACTCCTTGGACGACATGTCCATCCTGGACCTCCTGCATTGCCACAATGATGCCACCCGAAAGTTGCAAGAACAGCAGCTCATATTTCGCTTGGGAACCCTGCAGCCCAATGGTATCAATGTGCACTTCACAAGCTTCAAAATATCCCCTCCCCCTACCTCATCCCAAAACCAGCCCAGCTCATCCCCGCCTCCCTAACCATTTCTCCCACCTCAAGTCCCACCCCCATCTCCTACCCACTAACCTCATCCCGCCTCCTTGACCTTCCTGGACCGACCTATCCCCTACCTAACTCCCCACCTACATTCACCTTTACTGGCTCCAACCCCGCCTCTTTGACCTGTCTGTCTCCTCTCCATCTATCTTCTCCTTTATCCATCTTCTATCCGCCTCCCCCTCTCTCCCTATTTATTTCAGAATCCCCTTCCCCCCCCTCATTTCTGAAGAAGGGTCTTGACCCGAAACGTCAGCTTTCCTGCTCCTCTGATGCTGCTTGGCCTGCTGTGTTCATCCGGCTCTACACCTTGTTATCTCAGATTCTCCGGCATCGGCAGTTCCTACTATCTCCCTTACACCTCATCTGCTTACCTGAGCTAACATTTCCCCTGAGCCAACATCACCATAATAGATTACCTGGACATTATCATGTTGCTGTCTGTGAAAGTTTGTGAGATACAACTGCCTGCTGTACATCCTTTATTACAGCATTAACCTCACTTTAATAAATATTTAATTGCCTGAAAAGTGCTTTGGGATGCCCTGAATTCATGGAAAGTGCTATATAAATGCATATCTTTCTTTCTTATGCTTTTTGGATTTTTAAATATTGCACAGCTCTGTCTCACAACATGGCCTTCAAATGCCTGCTGCCTTATGGGTATAGAGCAGTGCCAACAGCAAACCCCCATTTCATGACCCTGTCTGAAATCACTGACTCATTTACGTGCAAAGTTTTTTTTTATTTAACGTATTTTTCTAATCAACTTGTTCAGAAATGTTATTACACTCCTCTGGAGCAGGTGGAACTTGAACCTGGGCCTCTTGGTCCAAAGATAGGGTCACTACCACTGTACCACAAGCGGGCCCTGAAAAAATATGGAATGCTTCACGAATTTGCATGTCATCCTTGCGCAGGTGCTATGCTAATGTTCTCTGTATTGTTCCAATTTTAGTAAATGCACTGCTGAAACGTACACACAAAGATATTTCAATCAGGTCAGATGACAAAGTTAGTTTCAAGAACAAAAACAGAAGTTGCTGGAAAAGCTCAGCAGGTCGGGCGGCGTCTGTGAAGACAAAATTAGTTTATCTCATTTCCATCCAATAACCTTCGTGTGAGGTACTTGTATGTTGACACTGAGTGAGTATAGGTTTGGGTTCAGTAGCAATGCCCCAAACCTACACTAGACTAGTGACCATGTTTGATGGTAGTTGGAAAGTGCAGCTCAGAAACTGCAGCATCATAGATTTACCACTTCCAGGAGAGGAATAGGTATAGTCTATGAGGAGAGTTGGTAGTTAAAGAACAAAAGTCCTAACTTCTTGACGCCAAGTCAAGGTGAATTTACAATGATTTCCATGTATAATTATTCTACTTTTCACCACCGTATGAAACAACTTTTCCTACCCTCCCGCCCTGAAGATCTTCCCAACATATGAGAGTTCTACCAGTGGTGAGCGGATGATGAGAATCCTGGCTAAATTTCTTCTCCATTTCTCAGGAGTAGGTCAGGAATTATAACTTAGTGGAATGCTACCCCAGCTAACATCAGCTAGCTCAGTAAGGCAGCCAAACTACTCATTAATGATAAATGGACCACTTTGTATATCATATTTAGAATTTGCTAATACTCATAATTAAACCACCAAATTGGCCAACAAACAGAAAATGTTGAATCCTTACTAATGCAACCCATAATTTTCAGCAAAAGAAGAACTACAAGAAGCACAGCCCCATTTGAAAAAAGAGCAAATATAGACACATTTGTACACAAAGCAAGTCAGAGCTGAAGTGCATTGTCCTCTTTGGATGTGTGTTTCCATTATGGAGCATATCTCTTTTAAACAGATGTCCTTTTACAAAGAAATGGTTCCTTTACAAAATCTGTTACTTAAATGGCCTTGCTGTTAAACCATGTTCTTTTTAAAGAGATATTACATTGCAAGGACACAGTTCCTTTCTTGAAAATAAAATTCAGCATTACGATGCCTGTCTCTTTAAACAGCATATCACCATTATCATGGTTTGATTCTTTAAACAGACATTCTCCTTTAACCACAGCACCAATTATCTGCTTTCTACTATTATATATAGTAAGTTTGAAGTAAATGTCTCTGGGATTTAATAAACCACGCTGAACACTGATGAATGTGCAACTAGTTTGCCGAAAAATGTTCTGCTTGGATCGGGATTATGCCTGGATCAGAATTTCTATAAACTGCAGATAACAACAAATCTTTTCAGCAAAGCCCATTTAATCATTCAACCATCAATTCAATCTAAACAAAAACCAACAGCAATCACTTAGCCAGCATGTATATTTTACATGGATGTGATTAGATTTTCTACAACAGGTGAAAACCAGAGTTAAGAGTATTCATTATGCTGAGCATTAAGTACCAGATAAGCTTACAGTAGCTCAGTAAAATAGTGTGTTTTAGTAACACTGAGATCTACACCAGGGATCTATTCAGATTAATTCATGCTTCAGGGCATCAAAAACTTAAGCAAATTTACATCAATACTCAACAACCAAGATGAGCAGTCTCACCATACAGCTTGAATTCAAATGCAGCCTCAACATTAGACTGAGAAAGAACACAGGTACAGTGTCTCCACCCTTAGGAAAGATCACCATTTATAGCTTTCCATGGATTGGCAAACACCAGCTACCTCTTCCATTCTCACAAGACTATCAGCTTTGAACTGAAGTTGATACAGGCCTACAGGAAAACAGTCCCTTCAAACTGAATTGCTGAGGAATAGTGTTCTCATACACTGTAAGGCTAACACGATTGTAGTATTTCTTTTATTGTCTGAATGAGAAACGACATAGGAGTATAATTGAAGATATGACATTTCTTTTATAAGACTCTGATGAAGTCATGTTTCACTGTGAGAGTTCTGTGGACATACTTGCTGATCCCTCTTTGGACCCTTCTATCATGAACCGCAGAAGATGACAAACTCACTCACAGCTTGGACCTACTCAAATAATATATAGTAAGGGAATTTTGCACTGTTGTGTTTGCCATCTTTTGTATAACCAAGACACCATTAGCCCTTTCAGGCTAATGTAAAAGTTCACATAGTTCAGTTTTGAAGAAGAAAAGGGGACTTATCAGAAGATGTTTTGAAGAACAGTCATATTGGACTTGGAAAGTTAACTCTGTTTCACTCTCCACAGATGCTTCTGAACCTGCTGAGTTTCCACAGCAATTTCTGTTTTTAGTTCAGATTCCCACCATCTGCAGTATTTTACTTTTATTAGGGGAGATATCCCCTGTGTTGTGGCCAATATTTATCCCTCAATTAACATACAAAAAAGCAGATTATCGGGTCATTACCACATTGCACTTCATTGCAGATTTTCTGTGGGCAAATTGGCTGCCGTGTTTCCAACAATGCAAAGGCGATCCCACCTAAAATGTGCTTCATGACGTATTAAGCACTTGGGAATATTCTGAGATTGTGAAAAGTTTTGAATAAATACCGGTCTTTTTTTTCCCTACACAAAGGATGAACTGTTGAAAACCGTAGTGTATAATCTTGTTTAAAAATGAATTTACCATTCCTATTTAATCTGACTTCCCAACAAACTCTTGAATGAGTTCAATTAATAGAAATATTGTCATATTAAACTGAAAGAACTGCAGGTGCTGGAAATATGAAGCAAAAACAGAAATTGCTGGAAAATCTCAGCAGGTCTGGTAGCATCTGTGGACAGAAATCAGAGTTAATGTTTCAAAACTCTTGTTCTGAACTGTAATGTTCAGGGTTGTGATGCAGTCAGAAGCTGAGAGATCCTGGAGGAAGCTCAACTGATGAGGCAGTAATTGACCAAATTATATTGCTGAATTTATATTATATTCTGAAGAAGGGTCTAGGCCTGAAACGTCAGCCTTCCTGCTCCTCTGATGCTGCTTGGCCTGCTGTGTTCATCCAGCTCTACACCTTGTTATCTCAAATTATATTGCTTCTGCCTTTTGTGGACAGGGACTTGCTGGACAACATCTCATGTTGTTGGGTTGATGCCAATGTTATAACTGCAACTTGGCTACAGGTGAGCTCATTTTGAAGAGCAACTCTTCAGCAACTGTGGCAGGATGTTGTCAGGGTCCATTCACTTCACTGCAAACAGTGCACTCATTCATTTCTTCGTATCACATAGAGTGAGTAAGCCAGCCGAAATTAAGCTGTTTTTTTTTGTGAAGAGGAGAGGTGTTCCTCAGGAGTGGATTGTCCATATGATATAAATTCCAGACAAAGTTCAGGCTTGGCTAATAAGAGGCAAGCAAAGTTCATATCACATAAATGCCAAGCAATGACTATTTGCAATAAGAGAGAATTTATCACATTCACATTGGCTTTACCACTATCAAAACCCCCACTGTAAATAACATGGGAGTTACCACGTACCAGAAACTGAACTGGACAAGCCAAATAAATACCGTAGCTACAAGAGCAGGTGAGAGACTAGGAATTCTATGGAAAGTAATTCACTTCCTGTCTCCCAAAAGCTTCTACACCATCTGTTAAGCACAAATCTGAAGTGTGTTGGAATACTGTTGGTTTGCCTGGATGACTGTAGATCCAACAACAGTTAAAAGCTCGACACCATCAATGACAAAGCAGTTCACTTGATTGGCATGTAATCCAACATCGAAAATATTAATTCCCTCTGTTACTTACACAGAATTGCAACAGTATGTACATGTACAAGATACACTGCAGCTACTCACCAAGGCAATTCAACAGCTCTTTCCAAACCAGTGACATCTACCATATAGAAGAACAGGGGGCAGCCAAAAATCAGCCTGGCTTGGAATTATATTTCCCTTCCTTCATTGTCTCTGGGTCAAAATCCCAGATTTCTCTTTGAAACAACATTGTGAAAGTACCTACATCAGAACATGGACTGCAATGGTTCAAGAAGACAGCTGAACACCACCTTTCGGGGCAAACAAAGATGGGCAATAAATGTTGACCCTGCTAACAATACATATATTCCATAAACAAATAAAACAAAAACCTCAATTGCTCCAATGCTCCCACCTTTCACTGTCCATCAATTTGATCTTATCAAAAATTCAGTTGTTTGATTCCTGACCTACACCAAGTTATGTGCGCTCTCTTCATGCCTCAATTTTTCATTCTGATCTTTTGTTAAAATCCCTCCATGCACTTGGCCTTTGCTTTCTCTGTAACTACCTCTCGGCCTACAACACTCCAAAACTACATTCCTCCAACTCTGGCTTCCTGTAAATCTGCCACTCCATATGCACCACTGATAGTAGCTATGTTTTCATGAGGTCTTAAAGTGCACCACCATCCTCCCTCAATCTTAAATGCCTGCTTAAAACCTATTGCTTTCTTCAGTTTGATAGGAATATATTTCTGATTACAATCCAGTGAAATGCCTTGGGATATTTCCTTCCATGAAGGTGTAATATTAATGCGGGTTTTTGCTGCAGAATAAAATGGTTAATAAATATACATCTGCTCCAGGAGCTACAAAGCAGGGATCTTTCAGCATGGCTAGTATACATTACAGAGCCCAATATCCATTTTTATACATGAATGCAAAGCCATAATAACAAACATGATTATTTTCTCATTTTTAAAATATACTGCATTGACCCTCTTCAGGCGAAATACATCATGGGTAATGGTGGATGTTGATTTGCAAACATCAGGTCAGTAGTTTCTGAATGTAAATACTCTATTTCTCCTTGAGCATTTCACCTAACAAGGTACATCATAGTGTGACCAAAATGTTTACACATTTTGTTTACATGTGAAGAAAGGAGTAAAATGCACTTAAAAACATCTGGTATCCTGCTGCTAAATCAAATGCATCACACCTATTTTACACCCAAAAAGTGATGCAAGACTTACCATTTTTACACTGTCTAGCCTCTGCATTGAATGCTGCAAGTAAGTATTTTTATAGCAATGCTATTACAACCAATTG